GAAATCAGCAATGAACTGGAAAGAGAGAGCCAGGTGCAGCTGCAAATTCTCTTCCGACCAAATAAAAAGGTGACAACTTGCACAAGTGTAATGCAGCTAAGGGCTAGCTAAGAGAACCCATTTGAGAGAACTGATCAATAAAATATACTATGGTCGGAAAATTATTTTTTAGCAGTGATTGAACTTCCGACTTTGAGAGAATGAACAAATATTTTAACCGTTAAAAAGTTAACTGTTTAGTCGTGGAAATTAAACGAAGAAGGAGCTATGGAGCAGTATGTATACGGAGAAGAAGAATCCGAAAATATGAGACGGGGATAAGGAGAAAAAAGGCAGGAAGAAATTAAAGTAAGTGAAATTTATAAAACAATATGGGAAATAATTATTATTCAATTCAACAAGATTTGGTTTTGCTTGCGACAACAACTATTTTTGTCCTTTCTTCCTTACCATTTATAGAATTATATATATGTATCGGATAAGGTTTTGTGGGAGTAAGTATTCGATTCCATCGCCATTGTAATGTAAAATGTATGGTCTTATACGGTCGAGCCATAAATTTGTGAAAAAAATAAGTAAAGGTAGACTAACAAAATTGTATGAGAATGATAAAATCTTATATTCTAATAAAAAACATATTAACTAAACTAATTGTGTTTGGTTCAGTTTCTTTCATCGTAGAATCGAATTAATTCTATTATCTTGTTTTCCCTCAAAACTTACCAGATTTATACTCTTGCTCTTTATCACTCGATCAGAAAATTTGTCTAGTTAGTACTATATAGTCTAGTATACTTACTTTTTTCATTCAATTACAAACAGGTGACCCTGCCCGTCGAGGTACGTGTATTAATTAAGGCTCCAGCTTGGACACGCAAAAAATGAAGAAGTGTCAATGCGTGATGAGAAGTAGAGCTCAATTCAAATCTCGGGAAGATTCTGACCGGCAAAAAATTTGCTCACATGAGTTAATGGTATATCAACTCCACCAACAAAAGATCTATTGAATGACAGGTATGAACACTGTAGTTGCAATACCATATTTCTCAAAGCTCCCTTTATAAAAGTGGAGTTCTACCTTTCCAAAAGTACAATCTTCTACATTTACCTAAGCTCGATACGACACCACCAATTTGAAATAAGTACCAACTTAAGGTTTGTCATGTATATGACTCCACATTAATTACATTAGTACAAATTTGGTTATCAGCTAAGTCCACGTCAGAGTCTATATCGAATCACATGTTGATATGTAACGCGAGTCAAAATCAGGCATCAAACATTTTTTACCCCATGAGTTGAAAAGCACAAGTAAAGCTGCCACCAACGATACATATGTGGATGCAGAGAAGGTGTTTGATAAAAATCCTCAATGGAAGTGAAAACATAGAGCAAGCGAGAAGGTAGCTTGGAGTTGGGGAGTTGGTGTTGGCGTGGTAAAACGTTGAAGTTTTTGGTGCGAATTTATTGTGATATTGTAAAGTAGAAGAGATGAGTTAGTGGATGGGAATTGGGAAATGGATATAATGATTGTGGGTGGGCACGTTGTTAGTGTTGTGCAACTGCAGATAGTGATATCTCAATGGACACAACTAGCACCAAAACAATCACTTTTTCCCCTACAATGCATGTGGCTTTACAAACCCAATATCTTACAATTTTTTTTTTTTTTTTCTGTTTTGATGGTGTCTCTTTTGAGTTCATCAATTTAATTGGGTCGATCCCATTTTTTGATCAAGTACTGGTTTGAGCTTTTAGGCTCTGATACCATATTAATATTCATGTGATTTCATCTCAAAATCAATTGGGAATGAGAAAAATAGTCCATATCTATTATAAACATATACAAGATTTCTTCTTTTATCAACGTGGAATCCTTAACATTTAAACATTTAATTGAGAATGACTAGAATTTTACTTTATTTTGAGGGGTATGGCACTTGTGTCGTGTTTGTTCCAAGTTTAATTAAGTGATCGTTGAGCTCCTTTTTGGCGATGTCGTGGGGCTCTTGGCTACTTTTTATGTTATTCTAAATCTCTCTTTTTGAAAAAATTAATGTGAGATTGGTTTTTTCAAAACATGTTTTATGATGTCACCAAACAAAGTATAATATTAAATTGTTCAAAGTAAATTGAAAGGTCTTTTTTATATATAAAAATTTTTTATTTCTTTTAAGAATATGGTAGAAAACTCACTGAAAGAGCTATGGGGCCAAATCATTAATTAAGAGCCCCTTGAGATAAGATACTCATGCTTCAAGCTAACCCACAAGAAAAGGTTCAAACATATTGGACTTGGGAGCTAACTACACCTTTTGAGGTTCATTACTTCTTTATTCAATATCCAAGGATTTCATCAACACAACTAGGTTTAGACCATGGCTGTAATACCATTTTTAAGGATAACGGTACCCCAAGTATCCTAAGTATCTTCACAATAATATGATATTGTCCGCTTTGGGCATAATTCTCACGACTTTTGCTTTTGGTTTTGCCCAAAAAGCCTCATACCAATAGAGATAATTGTCTCCATCTATATACCACGGGCCAATGTGGACTTTTTTTGCATTATCTTTACAAACTCAACACCCATATCAAAAGGAGACCACAATAAGTGATGGAATTATAGTCATATGACACCTCTAACAAAAACTAATCTTAGCCTTCTCTGATCCACCTCCTGACTTTAGATATCGTGGGCTCAGTATCATATAGGTACTAGATTCCTTTCATCGCATATGATATAAAAGCAGAGAATGGTCCATTAACGATAATGAAGAATATCTCTGCAAGAATCAACTCATCAACATTGTAGAAAGTTTGCTAGATAGTTTCTACTCTGAGATGTCCCATATTCTTTTTATTTTCTTTTGTTTGTCGTTCTCTTTTATTATTATGTTTTTAAGAAAAATGGTGTATCGATTTAGCCCCTAAAAGTTAAATGATCTTTCTAAATTTTAAATTATCCTTTAGTAAATTTATTATGTTAACATTATTAACTAAATGATGATGTGACATGTCTATAACTTAATATAACATAGCACATAGCACACATATGATGTGTAGAAGACAGATACAATTCAACCATTTTTTAGAAAAAAAGTAATTAAGATATGAAATCTCTTTTATAAACTACTTATTAAACATCATTCACTATTATGGTACTAAAATGATATCAAAAGTAAGCCTAACTCGATACCAAGTTGATTTATACATGTCATATACAAGACAACAAATTCCACACCCAGCCCAGGCCCATGTTCAAATTTTAGCAAGCAATAGCCAGCCCAAACTTGGTTTCTTTAGAAATTCATTTTAGATAATAATAATAATAATAATAATAATAATAATAATAATAATAATAATAACAACCTAATTTAATAGATAAGACAACAAAAACTTTTTTTGAGTACATAACATTTGTTTTAGTAAAACGAAGTTTAGGCAATAAAAATAATAATAAATGGAATGGGAACATTAATAAGTTGTATACTTCAAGTATTTGGGTGAATTTAAAAATGATTTTTTTTACAGCATCTACATCATGTTAAAGGTTAAGATATTCATAATTTGATTATAATTGAATAAATATTTCTCAAGCGTTTGATTGTTGGAGTATCTTATTTTTATTTTTTCAAATTGAATTACTTTTATATAATTTGAAATATAAAAAAGTGACCCTTGGAGAAAAGGGACATGAGCATATGCCCAAATTGGTCAAACGAAAAAAAAAAAACAAAAAAGTAACGTACCCATTATAAATTTTGTTGTGAAATTCTCAATTTTAGCATTAACTTTTTTTTATTGTTGATTTTAAAAGGGAGAATCTAACAAAGTCAATAACATAGAGCTTTTTTAAAAAATAATATATAAAATGTGATCTTAATTGACTAAAGAATCAAATAAACATTTAAAAATCCCACCAAGACTTTAATGATCTGTTTAGTACCTCGGATTTGGAAAGAATTCAAAATCATGACGGATTTCAAATGAATTTCAATGTTTGATAGTACATGATTTTGAATGATTTGAAATCTTATCGGATTTCAAATCCTATTTTTACTTAAAAAATTTTTTTATCAAAATAGTCGGATTTTGCACGATTTGATAGACTTTTGAAGTAAATTACCTATTTAACCTCGTCATATTTTAATTTATAATTAATAAATTTAAAATAAAAATTTAAATCAATAAAATTTCTATTTTCTTTTCATTTTCAGTGAACATCTAAATAAAGATATTTTATTTAATTCATTTCAAATTATTTTTTTTCCAAATAAGAGAAAGAATTTAAAATCATATCTTGTATTTCAAATCACGAAATTTAAAATCATTTCATCCAACCAATTGACGTCAAATAGAAGGTAATTGTTTTGAGAGATAAAAAAGAAGGAAAAAAACAAAAAAGAACATTTATGCTCTCGTGTCCTCGTTTAGTTTGTGGAGCACTTGCTTTATGGAATGTTTGAATTTCCAATAATAGCCTTTCCACCTAGCAAATTTGATATTTCCATTAAAAGAGAGAGATTTAAAAATAATTTTGTATCCAATTAAATATTTCGTAATGAAAACAAAATCATTGTACTAATTCATGAGTACTAAATAGGTATTTGATTGTCAACCTTCCTTTCTTAGAAATATACGTACGTAGTAACTTTTTTTTTCCTCACTTTTCATTTTTAGAAACAACAAAATCAAATTTATTATTATTTTTATTTTTCATGTTTCTAATTTTCTTTTAAATATAGATAAAAATATTATTTTATCACTCTTTATTTAAAATGTATAATAAATATAGCACAAAAATTTTGAATCTTAATTTAAAATAAGACTTTTATTTTTCCAATTTAAAATTTTATAGAATAAGAAAGCTTATCGGAGATATTTTTATTTTTTTTCACTAATTAAACAAAAAAACACAAGAAATAGTTACTAATAAATTTCTATTCTTTTAATTAAAAAAAATAAGGAAACAGTAATATGAATGTTACCGAACGAGCTCCAATATTCCAACTTTACCTATTTGTTTAAAAAACTCGCTCATGATTCATATGACCTAGATATTAATTAGATATATATAACTTCATATATGTATATGCATGAAAATTAATCAATCCACAGCCAAACTATAACCATAAGCTCACAGCTGGTGCTGCTCCCTCTGCACTTGAAGAACATTGGTGTTGTAAGGACCAACATTTTGGCAGCCATAGATTTGGTCCGGTAATAATTTGGGTCCGAGTGAAGACATCCCACAAAACGGCCGCGGCGACGTTTGGTGCAAGGGATTGTGGTTATCATTGTCGGGAAGATGGACGGTGGTGATGTCGTGAATGCTCGATCTTCTCTTGTCTTTTCCTCCGGTGAGCTGTCGGATGAAGTATTTTTGGGCGTGGCTGGCCACCTGTGTCGGAGTTCTTGTAGTGACAAAATTGCGAGAGATATTTCTCCAATCTCCTTTACCGTACTTCTTCAACCCCATCAAAAATAACCTATTGTTTTAAAAATATATAAAATATTGTGTCCTGTTAGTTCTAAATTTGCCTATCCTCGTATGTTGTACTAAAAAGAGATTAGCTCTAAATTTGGAGTACTTGTCATTCCAAATCTTAATTAATATACTAATTTGTTAATTCGATAAATTTTTTAGTTTCCAAAACACACCTCTAACTTTTAGACACTTTTATGAGCTCACCAATCAAATGCAGTTTACATAAACATAAGTTTTCATAACTACATAATTCTGACTTGCCAAATATTCCATTACAATAACCTTGTAATTTATAATAAAGCTTAAGTATAGGCAGTGATTTGAGCTATCTAGAATTAATCTATTCATACTACATTTTCTAAGAAATATATATATATGTGAATCAAAATAATATTTTTAATGTAATAAAAATTGACTAGWTAAAAAAGGTACATATGAAACATAAGTACTTTAGATTTGGGTCATCACTCTTCACATTTTTTATTTGGCAATTCTTTTTTCCATATAATTCATATCAACATTTTCTAATTTGACCTAAAAAGAATATACATTTACGGTAAATTAATTAAGCAAAGCAATTTTTGTTTCAAACTCTCAAAACTCAAACAGAAAACTACAATAATCTTGTTTCATTATCATCTATATGTTGTTTTTCAGTATTAGCTTTGAATTAAATGCAAATTTGAATGATAATTTTATATATAAAAACGAAAGTTATTTCATAATAGAAAAGATTTAGAACATTTAATTTGTAAGGAAATTTGGAATGAGAACCCGTTTTCAATTTCCAAAAACAAAATCCGGGAGTGAAAAAGAAACTAAATTTACAGTTAATTTCTCACAAATTAGGCAACCAAAAATATGTGCAGAGGTCAAACCTGTGCTCTTCTTCAGTCCACGGCACCCCTTTCTTCCTGTCCTGATCGGAAGGCCGACCGGAACCGCCTCTCTTCCCAGCGCCGCCGTGAATCCGCCCAAACCCGCCGCCGCCATTCGACCATTCCAACACAAAAGAGTTGCCGCCGGCGTACCCCGGAATCGGAATAAGCCCTGCYTCAATATCACTCACGTCCTCCACCAAATCCCTGTACTGTTTTATCACATCACCGACGGTCTTGCCGGGAATCATGGCGGCGACTTTCAGCCACCGGTCCGGCGTATCTCTGTCGAACCAAGCCAAAGCATTCTCGAACCGTTTGTTCTCCTCCGGCGTCCATTTCGCCGGCGACGTCGGAGAAAAAATCCCAATCCCTCGTTTCATCAACCCAATTTAATATACATAGAAATTTCAGTTCCCCTGAAAAAACTAACAAAAACCCACTTGAGGAAATGCATGAAATTTGAAGAATTCAAGATCAATTGTCCATTAAAGACCCTGTATAGATCCGAAGCTTTATAGATCGAGGATCAAATTCCAGAATCTGAAATTAACTGGAGAACTTGATTGAAGCTCACTAATATGAATTTTCAGAAACTGAAGTGGGAAAAAGGAGTTTGAGAGATTTTTTTTTTTTTTACTTTGGATTCTTGTTTTTGTGGAGGAAGAATTCAGAGGCAGAGAAGGGAGAAACRGTGATTGGAACTGCCGGTGGGATCGAGATCTATGGGACAAGAACAAGGCACATAATTTAGAGAGAGAGAGAGAGAAAACTGGTGTCGAATTCTGATTGGTGGATTTGGAATTTGTAGGGACTTTTCAGCTTAAAGCACAGAGAGGGGAAAAAACCAGAGAAATGCAGGGGAGATGGGAAAATAAAAGACAGACTTTTGAAGAAGACAAATCTATGATTGGCTAGGTGGTCAAGTGAGAGGGTTAAAAAATTAAATAAGACTTCTAATGTTTTTCTAATTTAAATAATTAATTCAACTTTAGTGCTGAGAAATAAATAAATAAATCATTTTGAATTGTTGAAGAGTAGAACATATCCACTTGGGCCAAACAGAGGAATTATGATTGTTTTGTGTTGAGGAAAGCCAAAAGATGAGTGAGATTGAAATCAGCTCTTTTTCTTTTTATTATTAGATTATTCATTTCATGGTTGTGAGAATCCTATATTGATGATTCTTTTTATTATAGTTTTAGGACATTTCACCTAATCATTAATTTAATGTTAATTTTGTTCTACTTTTGTTGTTTTGATTTTAAAACAATATATTAGCCTATCTTGAATAATACATTTGGTTATATGGTCTTTAAAAGGAAAAAAACATAGAATGACGCTTATTTTGTTTGTTTTTGTGGGGAGGGATTGAACTCACAATCTTTTGATCGGAGATATATACCAATTATCACTAAAATATATTCACTTTGGCGGATACCACTTATCATAACTTTGTTGTAATCTTAATTCAAAATGTCTCGTGCAAATAGAGATGTTGTTATTTACTTATGTACCATGAATTTTCCTTTCATATAATCAATGTCGAACTTTGGTTGCATTAATGAGCGTTTCTTTATTTTATTTTATTTTATTTATTTATTAAGATGCTTATAGTTGCTACTCAGAATCAAAGAATTTCTAGGTGCTATGTATTATAATTGATGTGAAGTCGTTTTCTTTTGTACGTGACGTTTGAAAAATGAAATAATTTCAAAACTCATAATAAATCTACTAATTTAATACAAAATTTCAAAATTATGGGTCCCCAATATTTACTTGAAAAAAGAAGAGAAAGTAGTTTGCAAATGCGGCGTCGTAAAGGGAAGTGAAGTGAGAGGAAGACCACAAAATCAGGATTATTCCAAGGTCTCTGTCATCAACAGATATAACAGCCCAACAAGTACAACTGCTTATGATAAATTCTTATTTATTTATTTATATATTATTATTATTCTACATTTTTTGTTTCTAAATTTTTCTTTGACCTTTCTAAATGTTGACATCTGTCCCCGCCATTGTTGTACGGACAACTCACACAATTTCTTTTTTTATTTGAAAATTTTGCGATTAAAAATATTTATCTCKCCAGTTCTGAACTGTCTTGGACGCATAAAAAAATTATATAATAATGAGTTTTTTTAGTATATATGATTAGTTGGTACGGCGGGTTTGAACTTGGAAGGAATTTTCCTTTTCTAAACGAATAATAGAATCAGAAAATTTCAAAGAAACAATTACACAAGTAAAATTATATTGTCACATTTTATTGCCATGCATTTTTACATGCCATATTTAAAAGATTATTAATATAGTTCGTAAAATTTGGATGACTTTTCACTCTAATTTCTATTGTTAAAAGATTTGATTCTATCATTTATATTTTTATACTTTTTTCAATTTAATCACCTAGTATTAAAATTTACTAATGATAAATTCACGTGACATAATACTTAGTTAATTATCGAAAATTTAGTGAAGAAAAAAGTCATCAAAAGAAGAAAACTCAAAACTTCTACTGATTTAAATATTATATTATGATAGTTATCGTCAATCAATTTTAATATTCAGCGAAAGTGATGGACTAAATTAAAAAAAATGGAGGTAAAGGTAAAGAATTCGAACTCATAATTTCTCAATCAAAGATATATGTCAATTACCACTGAACTAAATTCATGTTGACGTTACAAACAATTATAAATACTGATGTTATAGTTAGTTGGTACTTTAGAAGGAGAGCATGAATACCTACCTAAAAGATTGAATGTGTCAACAACTTCAATTATTTTATTTAGTATTTTTTAAATATCATAACATAGAATTCTACGGGATTGTTTTTTTTAATGCATATTTTAATACATAAATTAAAAAAAAAAAACAATCATTTTGATTCAGATGGGGTGTGACTTGTGAGGCGCCGGGTTATAAAAGAATAAGAAATTTTTTGATAATATAATTAGATTACTTTCTCAATACAACAATGCTAAAATTCCTTTGAAAAAAGAAAAAAAGAAAATAAACAAAATGCTGAAATTTTTTAATTTCTTTTCATATAATAGTATAAAGGGCTCCATTTTTACATCATGCGTATAACAGAAAATTTCGAATTTCTTTTTCCGTAAAATAAAATCTTCATTTGATGGTTCGTCATTGTTGGTGTTCCATTTGGATTAACATTTGGGGAGGTCGCTGGGCGGCGGTGGAAGCGACTGTTTAGGGCCTTTGCCGTTGTCCACCAAGAACGCCATCTTCAGCCCCCAAGTCGTATGCACTTCCAAATGGCAATGCATGAACCACACTCCTGAAAGGTGAAATTAAAACGCTTCAATTTCAGTTTCAGTTGAATCGTTTAAAATTCATTTGAATATTTGAAGATTGAACAAAATTCGGAATTCGAAAGATAATAATTCGGATTCCTTTACCTGGATTGTCCGCGCGAAACCTTATAGCCGTCCATCCACCCGACGGAACTCCGATTGTGTTCCGCTCCACGGGATCCACGAGATTGAATTTCTTAGGGTCGGTTTTAGGGTTGAAATTGCCGATTCCTCTCCCGACTTCGAAGAAATTGAATCCGTGGAGATGGACTGGGTGGTTTTCTGCGGTTATGATTCCTGTATCTTGTAGAACTAATTCCACCGTGGAGTTGTATTGTAATTTGTAGAGCTTAGTTCCACTTGTAGTCTGCAAGTTTCTCGGTCCTGGTCCTGAATAGTTGAATTTGTGAGGGGGGTTTCCAGGAAAGTCAGTGGTGAAAACGCCACTGATTTTGAAGAAATGTGCCTGTAGAAGGGCGGTAGTCGGCATTACAAAAGTGACATTGTTGATACTTGCCACTACCCTGCTTCCGTTAGCAGCCTTGCAAGTCGGGCACGGGTTGATCCCGAGCCCGACCGTGAAGAAGAGGTGGTGGTCGATCGTCAGCGGGACGTTGGCCGGGTACTTTTTCGAGTTCAAGCTTCTGAGGGAGTTTGTGAAGGAGTTGGCAATTTGTGTTGCGTTTTGGGGAGGTGGGTTGGTGCTTGTTGTGAGGGATGTGGCCAATGTGCCTGAGTAGTGCACCGTGGCAGTGGCGGTGTTGTTATCGACTGCGACCGGAGAGTCCATGAATGGAGAGACGGCCACCATGTATTTTCCGGAGTTACGATCGGCGGTTAGAAGGACGTTGGTGGTCTGGCCTGGAGCAATCAGAACCGTGTCTGTTTTGAATGGTTTGACATATGTGGCGTCGACTTCCACAACCGTTAACTTGTGGCCAGCGACCTTGAAAAACAGTTCTTCATTCAGTGCAGCGTTGATTATGCGTAGTAAATAGGTCTTCCCACTTTGAACAGGCAATGTGAAGCCCCCTAATTACCAGAAAGAGAGAATTAGAAGACGACCCACAGAAGAGACCAAATTTTGTTGTGCATTCCAAAAGGGGTTTAGTTTTAGATTGTTAATTGAATTACTCTGTGAAGGGCAATTTGTTGATATGGATCCTGGAAGGCCGTTGATGGTGTGAGCATCAGAGACATTTGGTGCTAATCCCGACTTCAGAGCTTCATTGATCACAGCTTCAGTATCTGATTTCCACCACTCAGCTATACAAATTCAAATTGCTGTGAGTCAGAATCTCCACTTTTTAAAAAGGGGAAAGGAAAGGTATGAACTTTTTGAGGCTCACCAAGCACAAGGACAGCTTCCTTGTGGGGTGTAGGGAACGGATAAGGCACCCCGAGCTTTGGCAAGATGACGATGGCACCATGGACGGTGGCTCTCAGCCAGAGAATATGGGCATGCCAGAGGAGCGTGCCTCTTTGGCCGGCGATGGTGAAGTTGTACACGTAGCTCTGGCCCGGCTGAATCGGACATTGCGTGATGTACGCCGGTCCATCAGCCCAGCCTGTTCGGAGTTGTCTGATTCCATGCCTACACCAACATTGCGTTGATAAGATTATGACTTAGTTTATTTACATCACTATATTTCAGTGGGAATTCAATTTACCAGTGAATGGAAAGGTTATATTTGACATGGTTGACAACTTTAACGAGCACCGTGTCGTCCTCCCTAGCATAGAGGGTCGGTCCAGGGAACTGTCCATTAACGGTCACAATGGGCTTGCTTGAGCAAAGTCTGGTTGCCTTCCTCAACACCACCTGCCAACCAAAATGGTTCAATATCACTCGTCAAAAACGAAACCAAATTGATTAACATTTGAGGCCCACCCACAACAGAAAAAGGCTATTCCATTCAAAAGCTCTCCTTCAAAAGAAACGGAAAGCTACATGTCACCAGAAAGCCTATCATCCATTTGAAAAACCAATGTCCAATAGCACATTGGAAACCTTTGAAATCTAGTTAAAGGAACCAACTTTTTACCCTCAATGATAATGAAACTTCGTTTTGTAATGACGATTCCACAGAACAGTACTGAACACCATGAAATTTTACAAAGAAAAGTAGAAAGAGGGGTTACATTGAACTTGTAATGCCGAACTCTGGACTCAGCCAAATGAGGAAGAAGGCAGCAGATTGCCAAGAGAATAAAAGCTCGAACCCACAAAGACTCCATTAATTTTAAAATTTTATCTTCTTCTGTTTCTGTGTAGTGATCTGTGAGGAAGACGATGATGGTGAGAAGTGAGAAGGGTGGCCATGCAACTGAGGCTTATAAAGAGGTGGCCAAAGGGGTTTAATGGGGAAGAATAAGCTGTTGTTGCCATGTCGTTTTTTCTCAGTTAGGTGATGAGTAAAACGAATCTTTAGACATAAGGGTTTTCAGATGAAACCAGAATCAGATGCACTGTTTTCTTTCATATATCTTACATGTTACATAAAGTTTGTGTTTTCCTCCAACCATTTTGAGCTGTGTATTCTCCCGAGAAGTAATAATAGAGACCTTTTAGTATTTCCCCTAATAATTAAAGGTTTAACTTTAACCTCTTTATGTTGTTTTTTGAAGGTTCATTTTTAATATTAAGTTAGATATGCCTTATTCTTTTAATTCAAAGGGTTCATTACACATAGCCCTTACTATAACGTATGCTGGGGTTTGTCTAACTTTCCGTCGGATCGGGATTTTTAACCATTTTATACAGAGATATTGGTAAAATTGTCTTTTAACATGTCATTTGACATCAATTTTTTTAGTATCTTTTTGAATTCAACAAATATAGGGATGGAGATGCGGCCTTCAACCTCAATAAAAGTAATAGACACCCTAGAATATGCTGATATCGACATCGAACCATTTGATCCATAAAAGAAAGTGACAAAAAGGTATGAAACATAAAGGATCAAATGCTGAGTGGATGTGTTAAGATGGATGGTTGGGGAAGTCAATGGTGGATCCAGTAGGCAATAGGTAAGAAATGGCTATCATTTGGTGGTGTGTGAAGCAGAAGCAGAAGCCGAAGCCAGAAGCAGATCCTTTCGATTCATTTGAAAGCAAAAACAGAATTAAAAAAGTGGGGTTTTCAGATCAGTTAATTACCAGAAATAGTTGGAGAAGGGGTCTTAATCACTCACTGCCTTGGCTGATTCTCCACGGAAACTTATATCCTTTTTTTTTCTTCAGAATGTTTCTTCATTTAGACGTTCTTATGAAATGAATTTGTCTCATTTTTAGAGGGATTTGAACGAGTTATTGATTGTTTAACATAGAAATGAAAATTCATCAAGAAAAGTGGAGCAATTTTGAGCCAACTTCAACCAACAATAATGGTGAACCTGCCGACTGCCGTGCCATCCCATCATTTGCTTCCCTCTAAGTCATCCACTCCCAAACAAAACTCTCTTTCTAACCTTATTCACTTCACTTCCTATTTACTTCAAATTAGATTAAATTACCATTTTATTCAACTCATCATATTAACAAATTTATGTCAAATTATATGTTTAGTTGATGGATTTTAGTTATGTCTATCCTTGAACTTTGTCGAATTTTTTTATTTTATGCCTATTAAATCTATAAAGTTAAAAAATATATATATATTTAATAGATTCAAGAATTTTTAGTTTTATATCTGATAGGAATCTATAGTATTTGAAAATTTTAAAAAAAATTTACAATTTTGTTGGACATAGGATTGAAACGTCATGGTCATATAAAAAACAAAGTTTAAGATTTTATGTCTAATATTGAATTTTATAAAATGTCGAATATGATAGGGACCTTTTAGAGACAAAATTAAAGTTTAGAAATTTAGTAAATACTTATAAACTTATTCATGATAGTTACCACGTATCCAATATGACAGTGACTCATAACGACAAAGATGTTTTAGGATAGTTAACTAAATCATAAGAATCAAATTGAAATTCACAGTAACTCTAAGAATTAGATAGAAATTTTCAAAACTATAAAAATTAAATTAAAACCAAACGGTCCAAACCTGAGGTCGGAGGTTGGAACCCTCGTACCTCCAATTTGTCATACTAAAAAAAGAAAAGAAAAAGGACCAAATTGGAAATTACCGTATATACCACGAAGAGGCAGTCGGTTAATTCGAGAGGCTGGTCACTGGGCTTTGACGTCAACCAAATGGGCCTCCAATGGTCMTGAWATCCAGGTCCCGGCCCAAGCTGCTATAGACGTTGTAGACTAAAACGCTMCGTTTAGGTACGATAGAAGAATGGGAGAAAACATTGAGAGAGAATGAAGTAACAAATTTATACGACAGGAACATCTGTGATCAACTAACTCTTTTTGAATTTCAAACTCTATTATAAATTATTTTCAATTTTAAGTAATAATTATATAATTGTCAAAACGAGCATAGCTCAGCGGTAATTGGCATATATCTCCAACCAAGAAGTAATTCTAATCACTACTGTGTATTTCTAATAATTTTAATTCTTTTAAATTAAAAATAAGAATTTTTAAATTCAAACACTAGGCGATATACTTCTTGATCGGATTCATTTTGGTTTCTATAATTTCGGCTTTGCTTTATTTTAGTATCTGTAGTTTTAATTTTTTGTTCACTTTAGTCCATATACTATCAAAATGTCATGTTTGGGTCTCTAAAAAATTTTAGTCTCTATTTACAAAATTTTAATATAAATTTTATACCCAATGCAATTTTATGGTTACAGTGATTTGCCATGTTAAAATTGGAATATAAAGAGATTAGATAAAAAAGAAAATAAAGGGACGAACCATGACAATAGGATGGTTTGAAAATACAAAAATTAAAATAAACTCAAGTTGAAAATACACCGATGAAAATGAACGATTTAGAAGTACAAATATCAAAATAAGATAAAATAGTATTTGAATCTAATTTTTATCCAAAATGAAAGTTGCCGTGTTCATCCAAAATAGACAATCTTGTGAACTTGAAATTGTATATAAAAAGGTATATGTTTATAAAAGTATCTCCAAAACGAAGCCAGTTTTGGATTATTCATGCATTCAATTAAAAAACAAAATAAAAAAAAATAGTTTATTGATAAGATATCACCTGAATTTTTCAAATAGCTTTTATAGATATCGTAAGATTTAAGGAAAGTAAATTAAGGAATGGTGATCTGTGTGAAATACATACCACCAGCTGTATTGCCGTAAATAAGAAATCAATTTTCTGATGTGTATTATTACAATGTCATATTATATTCGTGAAAACTATTTCAAATTTATAAAAACAATCAAATACAAAAAGTAGAAATAAATGAAAATTTATAGAATTTGTTGTTTTTCTAAAAACATAAATATATTTTTACTAAAAGTGGTATGGAATATGATAGGTTAAATTATAAATATAATACTTACTATTGTGTTTGGTAATATTTTTATTTCTTGTTTTTTATTTTTTTGTAATAAAAAAAAATAGAGCTAAGCTTGTTAAGTGTTGGAAAAAGAAACATAACATTTTTTTAATTCTTCCTTGTTTCCTATTTTCTAAAACTTTAAACTAAAAAATACTTTCAAATAAAAATTTTGATTAGTTGTTTCCAAACTTTTTTTGAAAAATGAGAAATATGAAACATTAATAATTACCGAAGAACATGGTTTTTTAAACGAAAACAATAYCTAACGGCGAATAAAATTTTACTATTGTGTCTATTCGATCCCTTTACTTTACAAGTTTTCTTATAACTTCTAAACTTATACTTTAAAATGCAAACATGAACCTAGCCAATAATTTATTCTTGTACGTTCGGTAATGTATTAAAAACGAACCGGAGACAAGTTTGACCTTGTATCAACAAACTTCCAAGTAAAAACCTACAACATTACAAATTGAGTAACTCAAATGGAAAATTTTAAGAAGATAGAGAAAAAGAAAAAAATTATTTGAGCGATATGATATGAAATTATGAAAAGATTTACATTTGAATTGCACATACGATGGGGCATGGGATCAATTTCCAATCCAAAGAAGACGCGAATCAATCGGGCACATTGAGAACGAGCAGTCAACAGAAACCACGCGTGGTTCTGTTTTTTATATAGTTTTGTTAATGAAATCGAATTCAATTTGTTTGCAAATTGGCAGTGGCGAGAAAGAAGCGGGCTGCTCTCTCCTCCTTTCGCTCCCCATTCCTTCTTCTTCTTCTTCTTCTTCTTCTTCTTCTTCTTCTTCTTCCACACCACCGCCGCGATCCCTCACTCTCTCTCTTTCTTCAAGGTATTCTCTATTTGTTTCTACACTCTCATAAACTCCCATACTTGCTTTACTTTCTGATGATTTCAAGAGTTCTCAACAGGGGCTTCTTTTTTTTTCCTCTCAAACTCAAAAACAAATGCATGATTCTGATTTATTCGTGATTCGATTTATTTATTAGCTTTGACTTCTTCAACCCTACGATACGATACGATTCTGTATTCTCCTTTATTTATTATGTGTTATTCGATTGCGACACTCAAACCTAAGAGTGATTATAAAAACTGCGTTCAATTTTAAATTGAAGAAAAGGGCAAGTAGTAGATCCGTATCCTTTTTGTTATTTTATTCAAATTCAAAATCTTAGTGATACCCCGATGAGAGTTGAATATTTATCAACCTTAATATGTTTATTTAGTAGCTATTAGCATATCGAGGAGGAGTCATACGATGGCAGAAGAGGACATTTATACAAAAGATGGTACTGTTGACATCCATAAGAATCCTGCTAATAAGAACAAGACTGGAAATTGGAAGGCTTGCCGCTTTATTCTTGGTATGTTTGTTTCTGTTGGACGCATTATTTTCGATTCTGTTAATAATCGTATTGTTTAAATTGTAAGGATGATATATTTGTATAGGAAATGAGTGCTGTGAGAGATTGGCATACTATGGGATGAGTACCAATCTGGTGAACTATCTTCAAATACGTCTCAACATGGGAAATGTAGCTGCGTCCAATAGCGTTACGACCTGGTCGGGAACCTGCTACCTTACGCCATTGATAGGAGCCTTCTTGGCTGATGCTTACATGGGAAGATATTGGACGATTGCTAGTTTCTCGATCTTATATGTCTTTGTAAGCTTTCTTTGGCAATTTAAAGTAGAGGGGGCGAAAAGAGAGCGGTTTTTCTTTAAATTGAATGAAAACTTGAACTGGGTCCAATGAATTAGCGGTTACATTTGAGTGAGAGTCTGTTGTTTATAATGTTTATGTATGGCTTTGGCAGGGCATGGCACTGTTGACAATGGCTGCTTCAGTCCCTGGATTGAAGCCATCATGTGACGGTTCTGATTGCCATCCAACTGGAGGTCAAACTGCTGCCACCTTCATAGCACTTTACTTGATCGCCCTCGGGACAGGGGGAATCAAGCCCTGTGTTTCGTCTTTCGGGGCTGACCAATTCGACGATAACGACGAAGCTGAAAGGAAGAAAAAGAGCTCCTTCTTCAATTGGTTTTACTTTTCAATCAACGTAGGTGCATTGATTGCCTCCTCAGTTCTGGTGTGGATACAAATGAATGTAGGCTGGGGGTGGGGCTTCGGAGTTCCTGCTGTAGCCATGGCCATCGCTGTAGTGTTTTTCTTCTCCGGTAGCTCGTTGTATCGTCTGCAAAAGCCTGCAGGAAGCCCCATCACCAGAATTTTGCAAGTTATTGTCGCATCCATTCGGAAACAACAAATACACATTCCAGAAGACAAGTCTCTCCTCTACGAGACTTCTGATGATGTCGAGTCCAAAATTGAAGGAAGTCGCAAGCTCGAGCACACAAACAAACTAAAGTAAGTATATTCATCATGTTCTATTGATTATCTAAACCTGAAATCCTCATTTATGATTATACTTTTGTATGAACAACTTTTTTTTTTTTTTGCCACTAAACTTCCAGATCAAATTCTTCATTCCATCTTTTTTTAACAGATAGTTCATGATACTCATTCTCATCATAATGCTAGGCTTAACAATTACAGACAGAATTTTATATTATCCAAATTGGTGTTACATTATCAATTATCTACAGATTCCTAGATAAGGCTGCTGTAGAGTCTCAAACTGATTGGATCAAGGGCCAACCAAGCGCATGGAGACTTTGTACAGTGACTCAAGTTGAAGAGCTGAAGAGTGTTATCGGTTTGTTGCCTGTGTGGGCCTGTGGAATAGTCTTTTCAGCAGTCTATAGCCAAATGAGCACCATGTTTGTTCTACAGGGCAATACAATGGACCAGCACATTGGGCCACATTTTAAAATTCCTTCGGCCTCCCTTTCCATCTTCGATACCCTTAGCGTTCTCTTCTGGGCTCCCGTGTACGATCGAGTCATCGTCCCAGTTGCAAGAAAGTTCACTGGCAATGAGCGTGGTTTCACACAGCTACAACGGATGGGAATAGGCCTCGTCATCTCTGTTTTCTCCATGATTGCAGCGGGTATCTTGGAAGTTGTTAGACTCGACTACGTGAGGAAGAACAACCTCTACGAAGTCGAGACCATTCCCATGTCGATATTCTGGCAAGTTCCACCGTATTTCCTCATTGGATGCGCAGAAGTTTTCACATTCATCGGACAGTTGGAGTTTTTCTACGACCAAGCACCCGACGCAATGAGAAGCATGATGGCTGCCCTGTCGCTCACAACTGTCGGATTGGGAAACTACTTGAGCACATTGCTCGTTACGATCGTGACAGAAGTGACGACGAGACATGGGAAACTCGGGTGGATTCCCGATAACTTAAACAAGGGACATCTCGACTATTTCTTCTGGGTGTTGGCCATTCTCAGCGTGCTTAATTTCTTTGCTTATCTCTTAGTGGCTAAGTTCTATACTTACAAAAAGGTAACAGGTCATTTGCGCTGAAAATTACATTCTCAGTTCCTAATTGTAGCTTTTAATTACATTAAAGTGTTCAGTTTTCGAGTATGTTAAAGAGACAGAGCTGGTTAGATTTTGTGTTTCAACTGTTGGGTTGGGTTGTGTTTCTTTTCCTCACAAATTATATTGTTGAAATAGTCAAAAAGTGTGGATGGATTTACAAAAGTTTGACAAAACCAATTGTTGGTGATTTGACTTTGAGTATAATTTGTTGGTGATATTGGCTTTGGGTAATGAGCCTCTACTTTGTCCTCCCACTTACTTTCTGTCTGCTCTTGCTTCACTTCCTTGCATGAGCCTTGTTTGTTGGGATTGTTTTCTTTCTCTCTTTTCTTTTTCATTGCTTGCTTTATTGACTTTGGGGCCTAATTTATTGAAAGGTTTTCAAACACAACATTTAAGGGAAAAAGGGTAAAGTGTAAATGTGTGGGTTGATTAATGAATATGTTTTGCTGTTGTAATGTTATTATTAGGTGAATTAATAATCATTGATAATCTTCAAAAAAGAGAAAAATGTATAATCTTCAACCTTAAACAGGGTTGTGGATTCAAATTGTTCCCACCCATTTAGCATATTGAGGAAACCAACGACAATGCTTTCTATGATTGTGTTCCAAAATGTTTCTATAAAATTCAATCTCTTTTTTAGACTAATCAACTCCTAGTTCACACTTCCTTTTGAAGTGTTTTGTTTATGGCAATAAGTTGAGAAGTAGATTTAAGTTATGAGTTCGTTAATTCAATTGCTAATCCGAACGTAGCTTACTCTAAAATGAATAAAGCATGGATTTTCTACACCAGACAATTGTTGGGGTTAGAAAAAAAATATTAATAAAACTAGAATTCACAATTCTGGCAGAAATGCTTTTGACTTCATTTATATCAAGACATTGGTGTCACATCAGTGATGTTGATGATAAAAAACAAGAATCAACTATTTCATGATTTTTCATATTTGGGCATTGGCTGTCTCATCTAAAGTGGCTTTGCTTGGCCAAACAATGAAATCACAGTAAAAACAAAAGGACTTAATAAGACATGTGAAAATTCTTGATTTATTTTGAGTAAATTAAGAAGCCTTCCTTCATTCTGTTCTTCATTCTACTCGAATGGGGAAAAAAATAAATCCATTTCCAATAAACCCATTAAAGAAAAATCGCCCAAATTTAAAAGGAAAAAATAATAAGCAACTTTAACCCAGAAAAACATGTTTTTTTTAATTGAATCCTCCCCCAACTAATTTCAGTTTCAATACAATCGAAGAACACTTCGAGCAATGGACTGGGCTTGATTCGGCTTCACCTTCCCCGACCCGCCTCTCCGGCTGCCCCTCATCGGCGTCAAGTAGAATCGGAGGAGTCCATTGTCGACGTTCGTCGGAGAATATCGAGCACTCCGATTCCTCTCCAAAACCGGCTCCTCTTTCTTCTTCTTCCCATTCCCATTCCCATTTGATTCTGCATTGCTTTTTCTTGAACTGCTGAAAGGTCCGCCGATCATACTTGAACTCCTCCAGCTGACGCTGCTGTTACTCCTGAACATTTTTGGATTGAATCCTCCTCTGCCATCGCCGCTCCGTTCGCCCCGAAG